TTCTACATGTAAATTAAAGTGATTTAGGATTTTCAAGATCTCACTGAAAGAATGCCTCTTAGAGTGAAAATCATAAATGAATATACATAAAGTATTTCTAGTGGAAAAATGAATTCCCTTGTCTAGACGCAGTCATGAGAAAAAAATAAAAGGAGGAAGTTATCTGTGGAGATTTCTTATTGCACTGGATATCTTTCATTTGCCCTGGCAAGTCCAATCTCTATTCTTCTCAAATCTGCTCTGTGCACCCAGGAGGCTGAAATGTACAATGTATTACTTACAGGGCTCTCTTACTGCCTGATGTCAATGGGGTTCAGCCAATAAAAAGCAGGAGCAAGTGACTGGAGGAAGGGAGAAGAGCAAGAACTGGAAGAGGAGACAAGGGTGTGGCAAGTAGTTACATTACTGGCTCTCTCCGGCTTCTAGGAATGCTGGCATTAACTACCTCCTTGAACCAAAAGTCAAAGATCCAGCCAGGCAGCCCTGTCCTCACAAGCTTCTCTGTCTATGGATTTTAGTAAATTATTTACCTCTCCCCTACAGGACTATGAATGATACCAGGGCCCCTTTATTACTAACTGAGAGGTTCTAGACTATCCTTGTGTGGCTTCCCTGTGGGGTGCCCAAATATTTATTCCATATTTCTCAAGTTACCACATCAGTTATCTTTTGGAAACCTTTATGTACACCTAAAATATCTAGAAATTTGAGACCTTTATTTTCTGGATCTTTTTCAAGAATTAGTTTAGGTGCTGACAATAGGAATTTAGCATAGTAATTTTTCAAAAATACACTTAAAACTATGTCAAACTATTATTTAATTATGTAATATATTTGTTGCTTCATCTAGTTAGATTTGCATTTCTTATATATACCATGCTTATAAAAATATATTTGATACAAATTTTAATACAAGGCATACAAAAATATACCATTGTAATAAAAGAACATTTTCTAAAGATATTTTAAAAGTGTAAGTCAAATGCCTTAATGTAATACCATTTCTAAAATGTATTCTAAAGAAATAATCTTGCATGTGTGGTTAGATTTAACTACAGACATATTCATTGTAACCTTTCTTTAGAAGTGAATATTGAAAACTGAAATAAATCTAAATGTCCAACTGTATAATTGCTAGTTATGGAATACTAACAAATGAAATCCATGCTTTTAAAATAGCATTTAATGACCCAAATATATGTTCAAAATACTTATAAGGAAAAACTGGTATGTTATTAAAGAAGATAGAATAAAATTTCTTTTTGAAAGTGTATGCTGATAAGACAGTTTTGATACTTAGGAAAACTAAAATGTTAGGTAATATTTTCACTAAAATAAAATAAATTTTCTGTTTGCTCAGATTACAGGTGTTTTTAACAATTTTTACTGTTGTTTATTATGCTATAGACACTGAACATGTATAATTTAGGTATCAAGAAAAAATCAATAAGTTCAGTTTTTAAACAAAAATTTAAAGACACATAATATATCAGAGAAGATAAAGATGAATTACACTTTTTTCTTTATCTAACAAAAGAGAGTGCATGGTTTATGCAGAGAGACAATTTTTTCTCTGGTTTTAGCTCTAAGATATAAAAGGAACTTATTGTATACATCTGGAAATAAGAGGTACTGAATACCTAATGTATATTAAGATTAATTTCTGTTTTAGCTTTTTTTTTTTTACAGTATAGAAGTACTGTGTGCTGACTTACCTTATCAACCACTGAAAGAGCATTTTCAAAGACTGATTAAAATAGAAGAGTTCCATAAACAATTTTCACCAAAGCATTGAAAACTATTATCTAAGATTAAGAAAACACCTTTCTAGGGATACTTCATATCTAGGGATCTAAAGACCATTATATCCACCTGTTATAATGGAATTAGGACAACCCAGAGATCCGGATGATTGAATTGTCATTTGGGGATTATTACCATCATACAGCTCAGTTTATGGCAATTTCTATACATGTATTTAGTATTAATTGAAGGAAACTCATAGCAATTAGATGTCAGACATGAGGACTACACTCATATCCTTAGAGTGCTTGTGTCTTAAAACGAAAAGTGTGTTTTAAGAGTCTGGAATATGAAACCACCTTTTCTCTATTCTTGTCAAATACATGTCATTCAAGCTACTGATATAATTTGCACAATATAAACACAAATAATGAGAAAATTTATGTGAAAATATGTTTCCAATGTATAGGTAGTTTTAACTATTCTTTTTAGAAGAAATGTATGTATGTGTATGTGTATGTGTGTGTATATGTCTTAATTGTTGAAATGATTAAGTCATTCACAGATTTGTTAACAATGTTTTTCCATGTAGAGTGATAATAATTTGTATTACATTTTACAATTTTTTGATGCACATAATAAGAACCAACTCAAAATTTTATTGAGGTTAAACTTCAAGAAAATAAAAGAAAAACTAAAACCACAAAGTAAAATATAATTAAAACATTTCAACTAAGAAAAAAATAAAAAGGTAAGCTATCTCAGACAATATTCAAGGTAGAAGTTGGTTAATTGCAATGGAAAAACTGCTAACTACCACAAATAGTAATTTAGAGACGTAAATATTATACAGGTGTGGCTGCAGGAAGTTGATATTAATCAAACACATTTGGCGCTTTCAATGTTGCAAAATTTACAATTGTAAACACCTTCCAATTCAATCAAATGTTATGTGAATTTTAAATGAGTTTCAGTAAATTATGCTGTATAAAAACAGGATTTTTACTATGGATCATAATTGTTAATGTGTTTCATACTCAAGGTTGAAATATAAATCAATTCACTCTATTATTTGGTTTGGAAGCCTAAGAGGACAATTCACATTTCCCTTGATACACTCTACCAGTGTCACTGGACTGGTGATGTGACAAGAAAGGTCTTCTGTAGAACTGAATTGCAATAATATGGAGATTATTAAAAAATTATATATGTACCTAAGAATATTGACTTTAAAAGCCTTCTTCAGATTGCAACATTGATTTCTAGATCCTTTGGGAACTGGCTGCCTTACTTAATGCAACAGTCTTGGCAATGGAATAATCATATATATCACCCATGGATAATTAATTTTTAATCATTTAAATTCACTGAAATACGTTGAACATTAAAATTACACATATATAATTTTGTATGCTAGGATAAGTTTCAAATCCTTTGAAATTTTATTCTAACCATCAATCAAGATAGTATAATATGGGAAAGGTTGAACATGTAATTATAAATTCAACATTCAGGAAGTTTATTTTTCTCTTCTTTTTAATTATCTCACAATGATCTTGATTCCTGCAAAGTATTAGTATATCTGGTAGGTGAGAGTCTGTTCCCTTTAAACTTCATCTGTATTAACCAGCTTTATATGACCAAAATGTCCCCCAAATTTAAAGCTTTGCACAGTAAGGCCTTATATGTACACCTGGCCTCATTTCAAAAGACTAAAGCAGTAGTTCTCAAATTCAGCTGCACGTTAAGTGTTTAAGCCCCTGATTACAAGCCACATGTGAGACTAATTTATGCTGAATCACTGGGCCAAGTATCCAGGTATCAGTATTTTTTAAAACTACAGAGGAATAACCAGGGTTGAGAACCACTGCACATATGGTAAATGCAACTTTTATTTAAGTTATTTTTTTTAAGAAATAATGGTTGAATTGATACTGATCTTAGTACCAAGTAATGGCAATTTTTTCAGACTTAGAGAATTCATCCTGGCATTGAGATTAATAAAGAACCTAGAAATCCAAGTGTTTTTATTTACATTTTTCCTGTAAATATTAGAGTATGCTGCTGCTCATCCTTATTTGATAATTTTGGAAAATACATTAAACATTTGAGATTGAATATCAAAATCTCTAAAATAATTTTGGGAATACCATTCTTTCATGAAATAAGTAAGCTCAATCAAGATACATATTATAGTGCCCATTTAAGAAAGTCTAAAAATAATGCTTGCACTGCTTAAATATTAGGTTGATAAGTTAATTATTGTTAATCCTACTTGTATAATCAACAGATACCTAGAGATGGAGTCTTAAGTGTAGACACAGAAGTTGTATACTTTTAAGAACTTTCAAATTTACGTCCTGGTTAAATCTTACTCTAAAACTATGTTGAATGGTTGTGATTAGTACATGTGTGATTAGAACCATCTTTCTCAGGTTATTACACCACCATATAGACACAGCAAAAATAATAGAATTAAAAATAAAGCAAGAAAAATAATTTAACACTTGATTGGCTTAGAGATAATTATTTTGAGATCCTAATCCTACCAAAACATTCTGCTTTTCTTAATTTGATCCTACTTTTGTTTGTTCGTTTTAATAAAAGATGAACCAATATCCTGAGAAATTTTCAAACAGGGCTGGGTATAACACTCAGTCCCTAGATCTCACTATGTTTTAGAAAAATTGTAAAGTATTTCAAACAAGAGTAAAGTTTCAACTCTGCACCATTATGTCTTTGTAATACAGAGAAAGTAACTCCACTTCTCTCCCTCTCTCGTTTTTGGCACATGCAAGGCAGAGAAAATAATATCTACTCCAGCTATCCCATAGGTTATTATAAAATATAATATGAGATAAAAATCACTTTATAATGATCAAAGTATTATAAAAGGAAGGCATGATTATATGTGAGCTTAACAGCAATCTGTTATTTACCATTTAATGTATTTTAATGTACGTTTCTGCCATATTTAAAAATTACATTTTTTACATTTTGATTTTTAAGTGAGAGAGTGATAGTATGATATTATGCCACGTTATACCTGATGCCATTATGTCAAACAAACCAGCAAAAGCATTTTAAACTATTTGGAATATGATAAAAATAAATATTTTAACTATGATAATCAGGTTTTTTAGGATTCAGTTTGTACAGCAAAAGCAGAGGCAAAAAAGGTAAAAATAGATAAACAGGATTACTTAAAACTATAAAGCTTGCACAGAGCAAAGGAAACAGGAGGGTGGAGGGTGGAGAGACAACCTACAAACTGGGGGAAAATATTTGCAAACTTTGTGTCTCAATGTACTAGTGACTATCGCCCTAAGAACTAGTCATGGGAGCACTGTCACGCATTCGGTATATTTTAATTTTCGGGATGCTGCCACTTACCATGGCGGGAGCCTGGTCCCTGTGGAATCGATTGTAGCTGGACTTATCTTGAATATTCTGAGCCAGCATACCCAACCGTAATATGCTAATTCATTCCTGCTTGAAGGGCGTAACAATCAATAGACGTTCGCGCACACACGTACGTTCACGCACCATTTAAAGGGCTGCTTCCGATTAAATCCGAAAATCCGCCCTCCCCTAATCTCTGACTTTATTGTTAAATTAGGTAAGAGGTACTCTTGCCGACCCCCAAAAACAAGATACTTAAATTGAGCTCTAAAAATCATAATTTAACCGTGAACACTCCAACACTAGCCCCTCGATTAACGTAATTTTCTAAAAAATCCTGATACTCTCCAACCAAATAAGATCTCCAATTTATATGTTAACTAAATTTCGGTCCTAATACTTATATAATATTTCAAGTATCCTTCTCTGAAAAGTGTGTATCCCAGATATTATAGTCCTAAATCAAATATAACTTCAACTACATGTCGCCCCTCAGCCAAAACCTCTGCTAATTCAACTATTTTAAAGGCCCTAAACTTCCAGGACTATAAACGACCACTTTAGATTTATACCCAACAAGATGTTGACATCCCCCTAGTATTTCAAAATACCACTCAAATGTTTTTCATCCAGTTAATGTAGCTTAATTGTTTTAAACAAGGCACTGAAAATGCGTAGATGGGTCCACACAACCCCATAAACATAGAAATTTGGTCCTAGCCTTTTTATGAGTTCTCAGTAAAATTACACATGCAAGCATCCCCGCCCCAGTAAGAATGCCCTCCAGATCACCTGGGTCAAAAGGAGCAGGTATCAAGCACGTATAAACACAGCTCATAACACTTTGCTCAACCACACCCCCACGGGAAACAGCAGTGATACATTTTAAGCAATAAGTGAAAGTATGACTAAACTATACTAATATTTAGGGCTGGTAAATTTTGTGCCAGCCACCGCGGCCACACAATTAACCCAAGCTAATAAAACTCGGCATAAAGAGTGTTTCAGGTCTGCACTCAATAAAGTTAAGCTCCAGCTAAATCGCAAAAAAACTCCAGCTGAAATAAAATGTACCACGGAAGTTACTTTAATGTCCTGAGGACACAACAGCTAAGGCACAAACTGAGATTAGAAACCCCACTCTGCTTAGCCCCAAACCCAAACGGTTATATTAACAAGACTCTTCGCTAGAATACATGCAGCAGCTTAAAACTCAAAGGACTTGGCAGTGCTTTATATCCTTCTAGAGGAGCCTGTTCTATAATCGATAAACCCCAATACACCTAACCATCTCTTGTCATTCAGCCTATATACCACCATCTTCAGCAAACCCTAAAAAAAAGCATAAAGTAAGCACAAGTGTGCACATTAAAACATTAGGTCAAGTTGTAGCCCATGGGATGATAAGAAATGGGCTACATTTTCTACATCCAGAAAAATCTTATGATAACCTTCATGAAATCTGAAGGTTCAAGGAAGATTTAGTAGTAAATCAAGAATAGAATGCTTGATTGAATAAGGCCATAAGGCACGCACACAATGCCCATCACCCTCCTCAAGTAGTACTCTAGAAATCACTATTACTAATAATTGTCTACACACATATAGAGGAGATAAGTCATAACATGGTAAGTGTACTGGAAAGTGCGCCTGGATAAACCAAAATGTAGCTTAACCCAAAGTATTCGGCTTACACCCAGAAGATTTCATTACAACCTGATCACTTTGAGCCAGCTCTAGCTCCAAACCTTGCTAAAAAGTATTATTAGAACTACTTAAATCAAACCATTTACCCTAGACAAAAGTGTAGGAGATAGAAATTACTTATTCTGGTGTAATAGATATAGTACCGTAAGGGAACAATGAAAGAACTATATCAAGCACCAAAAAGCAAAGACAAACTCTTGCATCTTTTGAATAATGAATTAACTAGAAAAAACTTCACACCAAGAGTTCTAGCCAAGTCCCCCAAACAGATGAGCTTCTCAAGAACAGCTAGAAGAGTACACTCATCTAATGTAACAAAATAGTGAGAAGATCCATGAGTAGCAGTGACAAGCCTATGGAGGTTGGTGATAGCTGATTGTCCAAGATAGAATTGTAGTTCAACTTTAAACTTACCCACAGAATTACTTATTCCTTCTGTAAGTTTAACTGTTAAAGAGGGACAGCTCTTTAGATATTAGAAAATAACCGTCCCATAGAGAGTAACAGATTTTACCACCGTAGTTGGCCTAAAAGCAGCCACCAATTAAGGAAGCATTTAAGCTCAACATCTGACTACCTTCATTTCTAATCACCCTGTTGAACTCCTCATATTACATTGGACTAATTTATTATTCAGTAGAAACAATAATGTTAGTATAAGTAACATTAAGACATTCTCCATTGCATAAGCTTACATTAGACCAGAATAATTCACTAACAGTTAACAACCTAATATTAACAAATGATTAATAGACATCTTATTATCTTTATTTTAACCCAACTCAGGCATGCTCTAAGGAAAGGTTACAAAAAGTAAAAGAAACTCGGCAAATTTCACCCCGTCTGTTTACCAAAAACATCACCCCTAGCATTGCTAGTATTAGAGGCACTGCCTGCTCAGTTCCATATGTTTAAGGGTCACGGTATCCTGAACTTGCAAAGGTAGTATAATCAAATAGGGACTTGTATGAATGGCCACAATGGGATTTAGTTGTCTCTTACTTTCAACCAGTGAAATTGAACTACCTATTAAGAGGCATGTGTAAATAAGTAAGACAAGAAGACCCTATAGAACTTTAATTCATTAATGCAAATAAAGATTCAAACAAGCCAACAGGCTCCAATGTATCATCCCTGCTTTAAAAATTTTGGTTGGGGTGGCCAGGCGCGGTGGCTCACGCTTGTAATCCCAGCACTTTGGGAGGCCGAGGCAGGTGGATCACGAGGTCAGGAGATCGAGACCATCCTGGCTAACATAGTGAAACCCCATCTGTACTAAAAAAATACAAAAAATTAGCCAGGTGTGGTGGCGGGCACCTGTAGTCCCAGCTACTCGGGAGGCTGAGGCAGGAGAATGCCATGAACCTGGGAGACAGAGCTTGCAGTGAGCTGAGATTGCGCCACTGCACTCCAGCCTAGGCAACAGAGTGAGACTCACACACACACACACACACACACACACACACACAAATTTGGTTGAGGTGAACTTGGAACGTAATTCAACCTCCGAAACGACTTAAACTAAGATCGCACTAGTGTGAGTTATTACACATTGACCCAATAATTCGATCAACAGGATCAGTGACCCTAGGGATAAGAGTGCAATCCTATTCTAGAGTCCATATCAACAATAGGGTTTACGACCCCGATGTTGGATCAGGACATCCTAAATGGTGTAGCCGCTATTAAGGGTTCATTTGTTCAACGATTAAAGTCCTTCCTGATCTGAGTTAAGACCAGAGCAATCCAGGTCGGTTTCTATTTAGCATTAAATAGGGCCCACTTCACAAAGTGTCCTTACAAGACTAGGATTTTTACACAATATGCTATTGGTTATTGAACCCTATTGTAGATCCAGTGCCCAGGTCTTATAAATTTCAGGTTCTTATGCTTTCCACTAAGCTACATTGCCCTTTTCCTTTTTTTTTTTTTTTTTTTCTTTTCTTGATTTTTTAAATTTATTTATTGCCTCCATCCTATGGACAGTCTGGAAGTAGCGATAGAGATATTTTCAGTCATATTTATGGTAGTTTCCCACCTCACCTGAGGTCTGTGGGTAACAAAAGAGAAAAGTTAGCTTCTTTTGCCTTTTCCATGCCCTCCTATTTCTTCACTAAACCATACGCAATAAATGATCTAGGAGCTTTTACAATGCTCCATGAACAAGAACCTCACAGAGCAATTATACACAGTTCCTACTTCCAGAGAGCTCTCAGTATATTAGGAGATCAATTTGGCAAAGAGAATTACAATAAAATGCAGAAGTACTATGAGAGAGTTGTGAATGGAATGGTGTGGAAACAGATACACTTATATATTGAATTATATCCTGAGAAGTTAGGAAAAGTTTTCAGTAAGAGTTGGTATTTGAATTGAATCTTATAGGAGGAAAGTATAGTAAGATAATTAGAGGAGAATATGACAAAAACAAGGTAACCAAAGTCACATTGAAATGTGTGAATTTGGTGGAAAGTCACTAGTTGTTGAAGAAGAGAGGTAAACAGGAATAACAAAAGATATAGGAGCCATGATAATTAGATTTAAACTAGACTATGCAGACTTATATACAAGACTAGGATTTTTATACAATATGCTATAAACAAATAGAAGTAAGTGATGTTAATTCGGTGGATTGAAATAGTAATGGTTGCAAGATAGAGGTGATAGAGAATTTATAGATAAATTATGACAATGATATGGAGAATAAAATTGAGAAAAAAATAGGAAGTTGTTAAACATATCACAGAAATTATTAAGGTTGAATTAAGGTAGCAGAAATAAAAAAGAATTTCATTTAAGAAAAATCTTCAGATAGTATTTAAAAATTCATATACTGACTAGATATAAGGATAAGATAGGTAGAAAATAACTCTGAGGTTCCTTGAATGAAAGGCAGATGACAAACTGAATAATTAAGTTACAAAATACAGAGAGAGAGAGAGAGAGAGAGAGAGAAAGAGAAAGACAGAGAGAATACTGAATACTATTTTAGACTTTATAATTTGAGTCATTTATAAAACTATCCAAGCAAAAGTGCCTACTGGTCAAATGACAAAACCTGAGTCTAAATCTTCAAGAAACCTTTGGCTTGTAGATAAAGATGGGAGCATCTATGAATGTAGAAATAATAATGGATTACACACAGAGTATAAATTGGACTGATAAGAGACTAAAAACAATTACAAACTTCGCAGAAGAGAAACAGCAAGTTAATATAATTTGTAAAACAGTATAGGCACTCCAAAATTTGGAGGAAGGAAGGAAGAAAGGGAGGATGGAAGAGATAGGGAAGGGGAAAGGAAGCGTAGGTAAGGGGAGGGGGAAGAGGGGAGAAGAGAGAGAATAAAAGACAGCAGGGAGAAGAGGCAAAAGAATTAGAAATGAACTATGTTCCAGGACTCAAGAAAGAGTATCATCTCCTTTAACACATTTTCTGTTCTTCATTGGGTAGGGCAGAAAATGTGTTAAAGCAGATGAGACTCTTCCTTGACTAGGTAAAAATTAGATCTCTTCTCACATGAATTTACTTCAAGCTATAGATATTCATAAATAATTGGTATATATCTGTTACCAAAACACCAGGGGTTCTGTCTAGATCCTGCTGCTCACCACACAGGAAGTCAATCACCAAGACAATGACTATTGCCAAGGAAGAAGACTTTAATCAGGTCCTGCAGCCAAGGAAATGGTAGATCAATCTCACATACATCTCCCTGACTAAAACTTAGATGTTTATATAGCAGGAAAGAAATGTAACTATGTATGAGAATAAAAGGAGCTTAGTGTGGGATAAGGAAGCAATCATGATGAAGAAACGTCCTGGCATTTCATTGTCTGGATGCAATAATCTGGTTTCAGTTCTTTGATATGTTCTGAGAGGCCTGGGGATCCTTTCCTGAGGAAGGAACTCAGATAAAACAAATGTAAGTTTCAAGCTTTAAGACCAGAAGAGTTAATTTCTGTTAATCCAAAAACGATTGTCTATGGAACTATACATACGTATGTGTGTGTGTGTTATATATATAAATATATATAACACATACACATATATACACACAATATTTGAGTAATTTTCTTTTTGTTTCTCGACTTGTGTACATTTCTAAATGCTTCACTATTGGCTATTCCAGAGTAAAAATGACATCTGACCTGATTGGGAAGAGTTGTAATTCTTATATGTGCAAAAACAGATGAGAGAGTATTTGCATTTTCAGATGAGTGTAACCAATCTAAATGTATTGCATGATATACAAACCATACTACACCGGATGACAAGAGATGAGAAATTCAGAGGCTGCTCTAGCATTACAAGTTGTATGAAGATGGGCATGCACTATGCTTTCAAACCATGGTCTTTATATTCATAAATAGCTATAAATATACCTTCCTTAACATCTCATAGCTCTCATGGTAATCATGTGATGTCAAATATGGAAAAATTGTTAATAATCTGTAAAGTACTGTTAGGTACTCTTAGGTATTACTAAAATTTGTGTCCACTGTTCAGATCTTTATATCTTTCTGTGTACCTAACTATTGGAATCATATGTCAAAATGAAAGACATCTTCATTTATGTATAAAAATATTATATAATCAAATATTCAAGTTAATGTACACTCTCCATAACATAGTATATGCAAGAATAATACATATCAAAAATCTGAAAAAAATCAAAATAGTGCTATGTCTTTATTTAACATTAGACTTATGCTCAGGGGTATGCATAAAATGATAAATAATTCATAAAATGAGTCAACACTTCATATGGTACATAAGGTTACAATTGCACACAGATATTTCGTGTGGAATTGCTCTGAAAAGCACTGTTCTGTAAAGGTAATATTTAGAAAATAAATATCTGATCCATATATTGTTAACTGTAATAGAAAAGCAAGTAGAAATAGCTCTGTAAACAATATTTAAACTGTCATAATAAGGAGCAAAAAAATGAAGCTATTTTTAAATAATAGGCAAAATAGAATGTGTTCTTCAAACCTTGTGAATTTTATACTGAAAACTTCCAGAGATATATCTTAGGTAATTATAAGGCCAAGCACAACAACAACAAAATCCTAACTTGAATCCATCAGATGCAGATTTCATGGCTGACTACATCAAGAGGAAGTTGCAAGCTCTAAAAGCTGGAAGGCCAGTCAGTATCAGCAACTCCTCAGAAGTGAAGGAAAAGCAGTTTAAATTTGTTTAACAAAACCATGTTTTCAAACTAACTTTAATTTATGCATGAGGGCCATTAAATGTGTTCTTTTTAAAAGGAAACTTCTTAATTGGAACTAAATCATTCATTATTCACTGTGATACAGGTTATATACCCTTAGGTTCCATGTGATTATTTACATGTTCAGTTGACAGAAAGGAGAAAAAAACTATTCTAATGACTTAGCTTCGCTTTGACTCACTGGTTTTTATCTCACTTTAACTTCTAATCTCAGTTACAGAGAGTGTTAAAGCTGGAAGAAATAACATTTTGGTAGATGATAAAGGATAAGTACTAGTCATTTCAAGTTTTTGAAGCTTTCATTAAATAAAGCAAGCTATTTGAAATCTTAAAGCTATTTAAATAAAGGGCTAAGACTTTTCTGTTTTATTTACTTAAGAACTTAAAAGATACTGTTGAAAATTTAACAGTTAATCTGTTGAAGGGTGTGGTTAAACATTTATTTTGACAGTGCTCACTGAAAACTCAATTATACCCCCAGAGTCAAACTTGCTCGTCATCAAAATGTCTAAAGATCTGAGTGTTTATGGGGTAACAAAAAACCCCACATTAAACAGTTTACCAGAAATCTGTCACTACAACATCTAAACGAACAATTGGGTGGTTGTCTAAGGCACCTAAACTCAATATGATATTTCAGCTAAAAAGAGTGAAATTATACCTAAGCACTTCATGCAAGTTACCAAAAGAGAAGATATTCTTTAATAAAAAAGCACATTTGTAGAATCAAAGAATCTCATTGTTGTAAGAAATATTTGAGATCATTTCAGTTAGGCTTTTCATTTCTTAAATTTGAAACTGAGGCTGAGATTAAACAGCTAATAAAAAGACAAAGCTGATCCATGACATTGGTTTGGGCAATGATTTCTTAGATATGACCAAAAACACACATACAACAAATGAGATTACATCAAACCAGAGAGCTTCTATACAGCAAAGAAAACAATTAACAGAGGGAAGAGAGACAACTCACAGACTGAGAGAAAACGTTTGAAAATCGTATGTCTGATAAAGAGCTAATATACAAAATATACAAGGAACTCAACTCAATAACAATAAAACAAATAACCCTGTTAAAAAATATGGTCAAAAGACCTGGACAGATATTTCTCCAAAGAAGACATACAAATGGCCAGTAGGGATATTAAAAGGTGTTCAATATCACCATTGATTAGGGAAGTGCAAATTAAAATGAGATTTCTCCTGACTCATCTTAGAATGGCTATTACAAAAAAAATGAAAGACAAGTGTTGGTGAGGATTTGAAGAAAAGAGAACACTTGTAAAATGTTGGTGTGAATGTAAATTAATGCAGCCATTATGGAAAACAGAAGGGAGGTTTCTCAAAAATAAAAAAAATATAATTACTATATGACCCAGAAATTCTACTTCTGGGTGTATATTCAAAGGAGTTAAAATCAGCATGTTGACTAGATATCAATACTTCCATGTTCATTGCAGCATTATTCACAATAGCCAAAATATGGAAACAATCTAAGTGCATATCAAGGGATGAATGGATAATGAAAACTATATATACATATTTATAGTGTATACACACAGTGGAATACTATTCAGCCTTTAAAAAGGAGAAAATTCTGTCATTTGTGAAAACAAGGAAAAATCTAGAGGATCTTATGTAAAATTAAATAAGTCAGGTACAGAAAGACAAATCCATCATGATCTCGCTTACATGTGAAATCTGAAAAATGTCAGACTCATAGAAGTAAAGAGTAGAATGATGGTTAGCAGAGGCTGGAGGAGGCAGGTTAGACAGGAAAAGAAGATGTATTTGTCAAATGGTACAAGGTTCAGCTAGATAGAAGAAATAAGTCCTACTGATCTATTGAGCAATAGGGTAATTATAGTTAATAATAATGTATTATATATTTCAAAATTGCTGAAAGAGTATATTTTAAGTGTTCTCACCATAAAGTAATGATAAATATGTGAGTTGAAAGATATATTAATTAACTTGATATAAATGTTCCACAATGTATACATGTATCTTAACATAATATTGTATGCTATAAATACATATGATAATTAATTATCAAATAAAAAATTAAGATGGAGCTGAGTCAAGAGTCCAAGACTCTGAAGTTAGATTTTTCATTTTCTATTATGCCAAAGTGTTTCCTGAATATTAAAATTGAATATGGCACGTCCAAAAGAGTGTGTTATAAAAAGACAGGAAAGGGTGGACTGCTGTATATACTCATATTTTTAGTCAGTTGTGTAAGATCTTATTAGAAGAACAAAATCAGATATTTTAAGAAAATTCTTATAACTCCCATAATACTAAAATTTTATGGCAAACCTAAAACCTTCAAAATATAAGGTTTTATTTAAAGTGAATCATATATATGCAAAGTTTTTATTGAGATTATGAAAGCAAAATCTCTCAAAGTAGCAACACATGTTTTAGACTGTGCTATGCAGAATAGCAGAATGGTGCCAATGGCAAAATCTCTTTCAAAAGAAATAAAAATTCTAGAGGTCTCAAGCCAGCTATACTAATCTATGTCTTAGCAACCTAGTGTAATTCCTACAAATTCTGAGCATTGCCTTTAATGTATCTGCATGGTTCCCATACCATTTCATAAACTTCAAATATTCACACTTTATAATTGACATGATATACAAACTTTATTATTAAATAAGCTATGGGATGATATTCTCAATCTACTCTATAAGGATACTATCTTCCTGTCAGAAAAGCTGAGACTCTCCAATACATATTTACTCCCCAAATCTTTTTTCTTTTTTTATTTTTTTGAGACGGAGTCTCTGTCGCCCAGGCTGGAGTGCAGTGGCGCAATCTCGGCTCGCTGCAAGCACTCCCCAGATCTTAATTGTGGAATCTCCAGACCGTGTTCAGTCAGTAATGCATTATTAGTTTTGCCTCATGTGTCTTAACCACCTTCTCTTTACCTTCTATTTAAGCCCCAAATAAAAGTTATTATTCTTGGCTCAATTATGCAAATCCTTTGA